AAAATCCCCTTCTTTAAGTATTGCTTCTGAAAGAGCTGGGAATTGCCCATATAGATACTTGAAACAGTTGCCATCTTTGTCTAAATCTTTTACAAACTGCTTCGTCAAGCCCAGTTTTGTGTGAAGTGGAGGTAACAGGACTTTCTTTGTGTCAACCAAACTTTCACATTTTATGTTTTTCAATTCTGGTATCAGGCTGACTCTGTGTGTCCATTGCTTCTTTACCCAGTGCTGATTTTGCGCTCTGCTGTCCCATTCACACAAAAAACATGGAGACTTTGTATAACCAGATTGTTGACCCAACAACATACAACAGACTTTTAAGTCTTCACAAAGTAGCCCACCATGTTCTTCGTATTTGACCTTATTAAAAAAACAGTCCATCAAATTTACCACAAATATAACAGAATATGTTTGAGTCATTTCACAACCTGTTGTTGCCATAGCAATGAATAAATAATATTGAAAAGAAAAAAATAATGTCAATGTGCACACACAAACAAATACTATCCAGAAATGACACATCATGTGGCCTGTTAACCATTTATATATTAGCAGTGTGTTTCTCATGGGTTCTAGAATGTTCGATAAAACTCACATCGCAATTGGTCTAGAGAAATCTATAGCCAGTGGTTGTCAACATTTTAAACATAACAAAATGTGACTCAATTTCAATGAAAATGATTCACTTGTGTAAAAGTACATATGATGTTTTGTGAAGAATAATTACGTTATGGAGAAAAATGGATATCATTTTCTGATTCAGTGTACAGGAATTACTGCAGAACATGTAAACATTTTAAGACAATAAAACCATCGCAGACCTGTGTTATTACAGATAGCATAAATTTAACCTAATATCTGTATGTGTACATTAGGGTATTTGGGTACCAACATAATTCATTCATTAGTTAACTAGGCTGCATATTTTGTTTTACCCACCATCATACCCCAAGTTAAACAAGCAATGCAGTCTGGTTAACCAGTGAACAAATATTTGCTGTAAAATTCTTATCAATGCTATAAGTGTAGCTAACAGTTTGGCTGCCAATTTTGATTTCATTCCTTTAAGTCACACACTCAATCCTCTGTTTGGCCACACCTTTTTTTCACACCTAAGGTGTTTTTAATTAGATATCATGATTTTTTGATACTCGATAGTAACTAACATTAGCTTTACAATCGCAAACCTATTATTTGGAACAGACCTTTACTTTACAGAACCAACCAGATTGTTTAAAATATATGGTGGTAGTTTTACCTCTCTAAAAAAGTGTTAACAATTTTCTTTATAGTAATGCTAAGGAATCTAGATTAACAGTTTCTTGTCATCACCCGCATGCACTCAGTATAGCCATATCAAGCATCATTATTTATGCTAATTGCTTAAGCTAATATCACAAGAAATTTGATAATATAGCAATTTAGAAAGATGTGTTTAGAAAGTCAATGGGTCCATATAGACTCCTCTAGTAATTCTTTGTTTAGCATTTTTCTTTACACCAAATAGGCTTAAATCATTTCATATATTCAAATAAGATCCCTTTTAGAGATATTTATGTTAAATCAAATTGCATATTAGATAATTTTCCCTGCTAATTGCCAAGAGAACGTACTTTCCAGTAACTTCTGGATGAAAATACTAAATTATTCAAAGTCAGTAGAAGTCAAGAGGTTTCACAGATATAGCTCATCTAGCAAAGGATTCTGAACACTGTGCTATAAGGTTAGAATCTTCTTAATTTAGATTGAATATTTATAACTGCCCCAGCATAATGATATTTATTATTATACTTTCGTATCTAAGTTCTATTTTCTCTTAAAAAGTAAAATCACTTAAGACTACCCATATTTTTTATAGATCTTATAAGATTTTATAACTTGCTTCAAGCAGAATTAAAATATTCTATATCTGAAGAAATTAAAAATGCTAAAAACTTTGAGAATTTCCTCATTTAGAACACACACACACACACAATACTTTTCAATGATGCAAATCTGCAGTCGTACATAAAAACCTAATTAAACAATGTTTGAAACCTTTGATTTTTTTTTTAAGCTATATATTTTTTTGGGTTACACTATCCAAACCTAATGCAATGGTAAATGTTTCCAGTATTAGAGACACATAACATACAAGGTATGTCTTTAGAAATGGCTAAAAGCACGAGTGTAAAAAATCCATTATTCCAATAACTGGGACAACCAAATTTAGAGTTTGGGCTACTGAGAATTTTGTATGGACTACTCTGTGGCTAGTGCAGTTCTGATTGTATGAAATGTGTGCAAAATCCATCTCTATATTTCACTCTTAAAATTCACAAAAATGCTACCTGTTATTTTTTCTTTCAAATAATTAAATATCCACTGTTAATGAAATTTTTGTAAGGTTCCTAGCCTGTTAACAATAGGCTAATCAAACTGAATTTAGAATTTAAGACTTACATAAGATGAACCTGACCTTTCTATTGGTTATAAACATGTCATCAATCAACCACGTAAAGTTGACTAGAAAAAAATTTTGAAAAGTCAGGGAGAGAAAGAAGGGTGGACAAAATGGAGTTTAGATGCATCATGTGAAACAAAAATAAATTAAGTTTGAGATTGTTTTAACAGTTTCATTTTGAAATTAAGAAATTAAAACTTTAGATAACATAAAAATTACAATTATAAACTACATTTTAATGCCAAGTATATTTACACACACTAATAATAAAGTTCTTTAATTAAATATTGAATGTGACACTATAAGGTAATGTAATGAACGGGTTAAAAGTAAGAAGAAATATCTTCAAATGTTTAATGGCTGATAGAGAAACTTAACCTGGTGTATATGTACTGAGACGTGCCCCTTTTGAGTAGCAAGAGCTATGAAACATTAGAATGAAATTGGAAAATATCTTACAAACATCACTTATCCAATATGAGTAAGAAGAAACAGTCATTCAAAATACACAATCTTTGTGGGCCACTGCTGGTAAAGACTTTTACCTTACTGCCAGAATTCATAAACTTGGTAAAGACACAATATTCATAAAACTTTTTTTTTCACTTTTCACTTGCATTAGAAAAATTTAGAATGAATTGTATAAAAAATACTTTGAACCTCATTTTGTTGTCTCGACAAACTTTCTACCTGAAGGAGAAAATCAGGCATACAGATGATATAGGATAATCTAGTAAAATATTAAAACTATGGCCCGATTCCTCCAATATTTGCCATTGAAATAATAATTTAATAAAGACGAACCTTACCATTGAAGCTTGGATGCTTTTTTACCTACCCTGCCTATAGTCAGTATCCTTGTGTTCTCTCTGATTTGAAAGTTTCTCAAAGTAAAAGTGACTCACAATGAAAAACCATATTCACAAAGTATTCACAAGTGAACTTAATCTTGAAGCTGAATTTGATTTTTACGCAAACGTTTATTCTTAACTTGTGTAAAAAACATTTAGTGTACAGCTATTAACCCTCAGATATTCAGGTGAGTAGATTCAACCCACCTATTGTATGGTCATTGAATTAAAACAAAAGAAAAAAAAATAATGGATGAGATTGACTACTCTTGACATGAATTTTTGTGGAGATTATGTAGCTTCTGCAAATGCATTATCTTTATATGAGATATTTGTATGAATTTGCATCTTTAAAATTTTAAAAATATTTTATTGTGATGTCTTTTTTTTAAGAAATAATTAAAAATACTTATTTTTGTTGTGGATTTTATTACTGACTTTATGCTTTTTATTTTGATATTTAATAAAATAAACCTTTTACTTTGTTTTCATAAAAACAACAACAACATAAGCAGTTTCACTGTGTTTATGATCACAGGTGTATAATAAAAATAACTTGTTCTTAATCTGAAGGTTTCATTTCATATATGTAACAAAATTTACACATTGTGAATTAATTTATATACATACTTTTTACATTTCTTTTCAATGACTTTCACTATCCTTTCAAGCAGCTAATTAGGTCTAACACAGTAGCTTTGTTAGTGAAATAAAACTTGATACAGTTAAGTGAAAAATGATTGAACTAAGCCCACCTCATCCTACCTTGTTCCACAAAAACATTTTTTCTATCATACTTCAACATCATAATTCAAATTAAAAAAAAAATCAGGACTGTAACTTTAGCAGAAAATGTTATTTCTTTTAGCAATATATCACCAAACTTAGCTTTTGTCATTTTGTTCTTATCTCTACACAAATCTAATAAAGCTTTCTTTATGCATTTAGATCATTAGTCTATGACAACTAAGGTTGAGAAACAATGATTGGTTAAAAATCAATAAAACCATACTTGTATGTATTCAAGTTACAAGATCAAATTAGTGGTATTATATTCAAAACTAGAATGAATTTCCTCCCGAGGGTGGGGTGTGTGTGGGGGACTATGAATGCTATATATGATCAGAAAAATTTAAAACACTAATGTTTGAATTCAGAGTAACCTGAAATCAACTCAAAATTAATAAAACGTTTTTATTCAATAGATTTTAACTCTGAAATACATCTTTTAAAAAATGTGTGCAAATTTATTTTCTAAAGTTTTTTAATTCAGTGGTGCAATTTTGCCCTTGGGGCAAGCCTAGCCAGGCAGCATAGAAATTAAATTTAATCTCTTGTTTTAAGACAAAGTTTTAAAGCTTTGAATACTACAAACATTAGATTCTCAGACAAATAAGTTTGTACTTTCTAATTTTAATCAACAGTGCTATGAATTGAGAACAAAACGGAAAAAAATGGCAAGAAGATTAGGATCGAGTAATTAGCTTGATGAGAAAATGCTGAGAGGGGGGTGTAAAGAAAGAAAATCAGAGAACAACTAAAATGTATAGAACAAATATTAATACATAGTGGAATTGGAGTGAGTAGGTTTGCAGTTTTATCTGAGAGAACAGTGAAACACCATCTTAATTCCCATGCTTTAAACAAGCCAAATTCATGAAACTAACATACACAAAAATTATGTGCATACGAAGAATACTCACTTGATGCTACAGGTGGAATGTAAGTTGATGAAGAGGTTGGAGAAGGTTGGGAGGAGCCACTTGGTGTTGAAGGAGGAGCATGAACACCTGAAGATGGAGAAATCCCTGCTGGTGGAGGGACTAGGGAGGTTGGCAGACTAGAAGGTCCACTTGGTGTTGTTGGATAAGGTTGATCAGAATACGAATTCTGAGGAAGGTGGTTACTCATAGTGAGAGTTGTCGGTTGACTTTCAAAATTTGGGTTTGATTGTGTGAAATCTTCATTACCATATCCTGTTACAGAAAATAAAAAAAAATATTTTTTCAACTTCATGACACACACACATGTCAATATTGAGTCCATTTATGACTATTATTTAATCAAAATGGTCTGTATATTTTTAATCGTAAGACTAGTTTTTAAAAACCAAGTTTATAAATATGATACGTGTTACAGGTTATCCAAGTGCACTATTAAATATTCGTTCACTACCAATTTTTTCCACAATTTGGTTTTGAGGTTCTATTTAAGGTTAGATTTTTTTACAGTTTTCTTACAAGTTGAATTTTACATTTTTTTGTACTGTACATCTTATTAAATTATTATTATTTAAATACAATAACCAATTGCCCTAGATGTTTTATTAAAGTACATTTTAATAATGACTTAGTCTCTTCTATTTTTTTATGTCTGTCCTACCTTTTCTTCAAAATGTAATATTTTCATGGCAGATCATAATCTTATATACTTCCTTGAATTAATATGCTTTATTTGTTATGTAGTTACATGCATATCAATTTGGAACTGAAAGATTGGTGCAAGGTTTATGAATAGATTAATTATTTTACTATGTATGATAAATCACTCAAAGTGACACTTGCGTTTCGCTTAATTTTATGAAGATAATGGTCATAAAAATATAAGCAATGATGGGATGAAGAAAAAGATTGCTTCTACATTTATTTAAGATGATAAATCAGTCACATTACTTACGTCATTGAGTTAAACACAATTACCCAATGATTATCCAGACTACTAAGTTGTTTACTAGATTAATGCTATGAGACCCA